CATTATTTATATATTTGTTACAACTGCAATTTCAATTGAAATTGAATACTACTGTTCAATAACACTCTTAAATGTGTATTATAAAAAACAGACAAAAAACAAAACTGTCAGAATATTCATAGTTTTTATATTCCGACATATGAATAAAAATAAATACTCATCATATACCCATTATACATCCATATCCCATATATATCCATAAGTTTGAATAAATAATGAACATAAATTGTGGTATATAAACTACAATTATTTCAATATTCCTAAGTGCTTTAACTGAAATTTTATCTATACTACCGTTACCATTAGGTTCAATTTATACTTCCGACTGATCAACAAAAGCACAGTTTGAAATAAAAACTATATGCGTAATGATCAAAAATATTCGTATGATTTTAACGCCACTTTTATTAATGAGTTACGTATTTGGTTTAAGAATTGCCAAATCTAATCATTCAAGATTGTGGTTTAGTGTTTCGTATATACTGCTGATTTGGTCAGTTTATTATTTTCTCGTATTATATGTATTTATTTCTTTTTATAAAGACTTGTCCTTTATGGAAAAAATTAATCATTGTCTGGAAACTTCTGACGATATTATCAATCGTGTTTGGAATATACTGTGACAAGGTAACAAATTGCCTTAATATTTGTAATATTATTAATAAAAAGCAATTGTTATAATATATTAAATTATTAGAAATAAACATATCTATTTACACAATTACATTGATAAAATATACAGAAAATAAAAGTAACTAATTACTGAAATTGCCATTATCCAGATAACAATGTTATCTGCATACTTATTGTCAGTAACTTAAATACCTAGTTGTAATAACAACTTAGTAATAATATTATAGATTTCTCATGATGTAACACCAAAGCAGTCAATAAATACTTATAACGAGTTGGAAAAGTCATTCGTTACTAAAAAAAAATAACTCGCAATTTTTATTCATTATTTTTTATGCTTGTAACTAAGTAACTTTACGGAGTTACTCATTATTTATTACTTTTTTTAAGAGCATAAGAGTGACGATTTACTTTTCAAAATAACTTTTCTAACTTTAGCGTATCCTCAGCATTTTATAATTAGTCATCATTACAATCATAAAGAATTACAACATCATTATCAAATTGTTATTACAAAAGTAACTCTTTTATTCCTACAAATAAGTAGAGGAAAGGGGAGTAAGATAACGAAGGGAGTAAGATAACGAATTGTTGATTTTTTAAAAATAATAATAAATGAAAAGCAGATGCTTAACTCATCAAAGGCTTTAGGTAATAATACACAATCTCTTATAGTTTGAATTCAATCCGACTACAAAAATAGTATATTAAAATAGTATGTTAAAAATAATATATTAAAAATAATATATTAAGAAATGTGTTTTGGATCCATTCACGTAATTTTGTAGTATTTGTACATAAAGAATGATATAATTATAGTAAATACTTTTCATTTTTTAAATAAAATTGCAATATTGTATAACTAAAAGCGAATACAATAACATATAATAATATTTTTTTATTTTTCGCATTACAATGGTTTTATTAATTAAATAAAAATATACGGTAACTGTGGATAAGATGATGAATGTTGTGTATAGATAAGATGAAATCTGCCTCTCAAGGCAGATTGTAGGTTATGTACGCATGACGTTTTCGCAACTCAAATAATTATTGATTATTCTTTGATTACTTGTAAGTAAATATGTATAATTCATTAAGCATAAAATATTTTTTAAATAT